ACCACTGCAGCCACGTCCACCCAATGGGCCACGTCCACCCAATGGGCCACGCCCACCCGGCACCCAATGATACATAAGTGGGTATGGGGTTGCAGTTTGGGCACTCGGTCTCTAAAAGGTTTGCCATCACTGCTATATAAATCATTTAAAAAGTTAAAGTAAAGAAGTCCCTGCGGATTTTACTCCGCTAGTCATTGCTAACTATAGGGGATGGTGCTCATCTCCGTTTCAAGGCCACTGAGCCAGCACTGTCCAAAGATGTTTCCATGGTTATGTGGTTAGCATGATGTCATGAACGGCTGTTACCTTCCCAAATGTACCTATTAATCTACTCGCATTTGCATGCTTTCAAATTGCTAGGTTGATAGGAGCTGGGTGAGGACGGGAGCTCACCCCATTGGGTGGCACTCAGCTCTTGAACCTGGGCTATCGGCTTTCCAGCTGACAAACCCAGAGTTTTAGCAGCTGAGCCACCGAACCACCCATACAATCATATAACCTTGCAAGCTAATTTTTTTTTAAAAAAACCTTCCCATTCTAGCCTATAACTACAGGATTTTCTGAAACTGTCCCATTCAAGTACTAATTAGGTTTATTTTTTCTTAGGTGAGACAAAGTTGGCTAAAAGTTGCCAGCTGCTGGGATGATGCCTAGAAGGTCCTTCTTAAACTACAGTCAAAATGGCAATACATACAGCTTTTACAAAACTATTGGAGAAGGCTAACATTGTCTTTCATTCTCTTAGTTGCATTTTAAGGGCAGCTACTGATACTTGGACTTGATCTTGGCTTCTGTTATATAATAACATCCATACAGAATAAATTTATGTACAATATAATCACACTCACTCAACAGATGTCATGTTTAGTGTGGCCCTCAGAATCCTTGGCCCATCTGCAATATAATCACTATCTGGAAAAAATGAGGATGATGTTCCTTAGCTTAGGCCAGGGGTGGGGAACCCTGGCTCTTTTATGACTTGTGGACTTCAACTCCCAGAATTCCTGGCTGGCTCAGGAATTCTGGGAGTTGAAGTCCATAAGTCATAAAAGAGCCAAGGTTCCCCACCCCTGGCTTAGGCCATCCAGAGGCTCTTCATAGAAGTGGCTCATACTTTTGGCTATTGCTGATCTGCTGCTGTTGTGTAACTGATTTCATCATCCTTGGGCCAAAAGCCACCAATAAACACTCCAGCTTGGCCTAGCTCTCCAATCACCCAGCTGTTTGCTGTTCCCCTACAGATCTTCCCCTGGAGCCCATGAGTTTTCATAATCATTCAGGGGACATACTTGGCCCCTCTTCTGTTTAATTCTTCTTTCCCTTTTAATGATCCAGGCTTGGCATTTTATTCATGTAGACATGGAAAAGAAGTAGAGGAAGGTGACTACTGCTTGCTGTTTCATGTCACTGCCTTGCATTTTTATACATGCCGCCTAACTAGAAATGCTAGGCCAAAGTTTTCTCACAATCAATTATTTCTTTCACATATACCTCATTGCAGCCAGGTGTCCTGAACAGAAACAGTAACCTAACAGCTCCACTTTAGCAACAAAGAAAAGTATTATTACTACAGAATAACTTCACTTTTAAATAAAACATTTGTGCTTCTTTTCCTCCTCCCTTTCAACATGGTTTGTATTACTGCATTAAAAAGTTGCTATTTAAGAAATTACATTGAGAAATAGTAATGGACACAAAAAAATAAAGCTATAAGATTTTGGGGCAACTGGTAACGTCAGACTTCTCAGATTTTCCCAATTTATTTAATGTAAATTATGCAGCCCTGGGATTTTTTTGATGGTCTTCCCTCCAAGGCCATCCCTTCACCTCTCATCCTGTTTAGCTTCTGAGCCCAAAGTAAATTGGGTGTGGCCATGGGATGAGATGAGGGAATGAAGATCAGGGGTGTCAAACTGCTGGCCCACGGGTCGGATGTGTCATGGCAAAACTGCGCTCACCCCATTGCTGGCAATGGAAAAAAAAGTCATGATACGTCGCGACACATCATGTGATATTGAGTTTGACACCCCTGATATAGAGGAAAGCAATTAAAATATGCTTGTATGACATCAGACAGAAAGCCTTTAAATAGTGTTTGAATTATTCTATTATTGTTGTTGTGATTATTATTATTATTTAAAAGGCAAGAATAACAGAATATAGTCAGTCACTCTGGGAAACCTATTTGCCCACAAGGCAAAAAGCTCTATTTGCACTCATTGGTTTTTTTTTTGAGGAACTACTGCATTAGCCAATTAAGGTTGTTGCACTCATTATTTATGTCCCTCAAGTTACCTTCTACGTTAGGAACAGAATAGTGATGAATTATGTGTTCTCCTTCAAAAAGCATCTATAGAATCAGTGTTTCAGCAGAATGAGGAAGCATGCATCACAACAGGAGGCAAACTCCTCCTGTTGTGTATAAATGTACATTGTGACAGCACATGTAAGGCAAAACTTGTTATATTCATTTTGCTCTTTGTCCCCTGAAGACCCCATAGATGTCAATGTCCAAATCTCAATTTCAGTTCATTAAAATATACGCAGACCAAACAAGTTTAAAAACTCTTAAGGATTTTGAAGGCCTAAGTAAGAAGAAGATTGGGATTGGTTGAAGCATTCTGTGTGTGTACATGTGTGCATAAGAACTCACCCGATTAATGAATAATGATGAAAGTTGTATAACTATAAGAGAAAAGGGATTCATTTACAGGAAACACATGCATATTATAGGGATAGGCTACATTAGCATCAAGCTAATTGCATCCTACAGAGGAAAGTCAACAAAACATGTTCTTTGTACATGTTTGTACCTGGGAAGAAAAACAGAAGGAAGTAATCTGAGATTAGCAGACTTTTAGACAGAATACATCCTTACCTATCTATACCCTACTTTCCCCTGGTGATTAATAGTTCAATAAGCGCTGAGAGGTTATTAATATCCCACCTGTCTACTTATATGTTTGGAAGTTACCCTTAGAAAACTTACCATTTGACTTTATATTATGATTATTCTATCCAATTCAAATGGATATCACAATCTAATTGACTGGGTGTTGACTCCTATGATTCAGATGTTAGCCAAGGACTTAAGAGTCATAGAGGTATCCCGTAAAATAAATATCATTCCAAATCTTTTGCAAAATTAGTGGTGTCAAGTCCAGGAAGTTTTAAAATTATTACCATTTCATTCTGATACAGGAAACAAATCTGTGCAACACCCTTGACACTAGAAGTTGTGTTATTTTATTTTATCATTGCATTATCCCTTCCCAAAGGCTCTGTATCCTAATGACTGGAAAAGCCCTCTCCCACATGTAAAAATAATTCCCACAAGTTGCCTTGATTTCTCCCCTATAGTTTAGGGAGAAAATAAAAATCAGTGAAAAGGACATGTTGCAAAACAGCATTTTTTTTTACTAATGTTCTCAAAAGGTAACACTGTTTTTTTTTCTTATGTGCAACTCATAAATCAATTTTTATCAAGACAAGTGCCAAATTTTACTTAGGTCTCAAAGGAAAGAGTCTTTTGCCTTTAATATATGAAAGCTGGAGGTTTTCTGACTAAAATATGAGAAAAGGGGAGATAATACTTTCCTCCCATGCCATCTTAAGGAACAATGGCTTACTTTTCAACACAGTAACATCTACCATCATTGGGACTGCTATGTCCTGTACTTCAGCCACTGGTCAACATCTGATCATGGTCTTAACTGAAGGTATGGCTGATCTGAAAAATCTAAGCAGGATCACACCTGGTTACATTCCAGAGACAGACTAGGAGGAAAACTGAGTTGCAGCCTAGGCTGGAAAGCCAAAAGAGAGGGAGAGAGAGAAAGAGAGGGAGGGGAGAGAAAGAGAGAGATGACAACCCAGAAATCCAAAGTTACCAAACTTGGGCAGTCTAAATATGCTGGCCTACTAGAAAATGCCATAAAAAAAATTAAGGAGTCCTTAGTGGTCTCTGAGCTTGGTTGTTTGTTGCAGACATTTCATTACCCAAACTAGATAACATCATCAGTACTAGTAAGGAGTGGAAAAAGCAAACCTCATTCAGCTGCTCCCTCAACTGAGATCAAATCCCACTCCTAGCACCGATGAGGTTACCTAGTTGGGTAATGAAACGGCTATAAGAAAACCACCAAGCTTAGAGAGCACCTAGGGCTCCCCATTTCAACCCTGAGTTGCAAACATTCTCCTTTATTGGTAAAACAAATTAAATCATTCCAAGGTGCTCTCTTTCAACCCATCAAACAAGACTGTTGTGGGGAAAAAGAGGAGGAAGGAGTGTTCACCACCTTGAGCAGGAGTCTTCAAATTTGGCCCTTTTATGACTTGTGGACTTCAACTCCCAGAATTCCTCAGCTGAGGAATTCTGGGAGTTGAAGTCCACAAGTCATAAAAGAGCCAAGTTTGAAGACCCCTGACCTTGAGTTACTTAATAAAGTAATAAAGCAATAAGGGAGAACTAAAAATCAAATAAGCAGGTAAGTAAATAAATGGCAGCTGCAGGGATGTGCTGATGTGCTGCGTGCACTTGACTGGAAGAAGAATTTCCCTTTATTCTAGCTTGCAAAATAAAAAAGTCCCCCCCTTCTCCTCTGCCAGCTACCGCATTATTAACAAGGACTCTGCGCCATCTGCCGGTTCTCGCCAGCATCACAACCTACCAACATTTTCTACCTCCCGCTGTTGTCCGTCCTCCTCCTCTATCCTGCTTTTGGGCCATACCAACTCTCACTGAGGTGAGGGGAGTTGATAGCCCACCGTCTTCGAAGTTGCGTCTTTCCTCAAACTGAACGCTGAAGCCGCTTCCTTTCACTGCGACTCCGACGAACACCCGAAGGACAAAAAAATGAGAGCCTCAGCCAAATGAGAAACCTCCCCATCGAGAAGGAGTTGGTGGTTTAGTCCACAACATGGCGGCCACCATGAAGAAAGCGGTGAGCGGGCTGGGGCGGGCAGGAGAGCGAAGTCGGGTGGACTGGCGGCTGTTCTACTGGCTTACCTCCCCCCCTCCCGGTGATGCTTTCGCCGGCGTTTTCCTCAGTGGAACTTGAGGAGCGGGAGGAGGCCGGAGAGCGTCCGGAAGGGAGGCCTTAGGCCCGGACAGGCGGAGGCCGTGAGCGGCGTGATCTGCCCGAGATGGAGGCGCGTTGAAAGGGCTATTATGGGGAAGGGGGGAACCCCAGTTTTTGCCCTGGAACATCCTGAAACGAGCGTAGCGTCCGGTAAAGCAGCCCCTATTCCCAACCTGGCGCCCTCCGCGTTTGACGGATGCGATATTGGGCAGCGCGGAGGCGGGGCCTCATTTGGGGCGTAAATCCTGTATATCCTGCTTTGCGCCTGCAGAGGGCGCCGTACAGCTCAAGCTGAGGGGCTGCTGGTAGTTGTAAGTCTTCGGTATCTGAAGCGTCACGTGATTCTGATTGCTGGCTGAACCAGGCTCATCTGGGACAGGGAGTGGAGACCACAAGGTAGTCCTAGGCTGAGTGGATGGAAAAGTTTTCAGGAAAAAGGCACGATAAACCATTCCCTGGTCCCCAACAAATAAATTAGTCTGGGAAATGTCAAGACGGCCAGCTCAACTGAAAAGAGATTTCATTTTTCCTTAGTTTGGGAATGCATGCAGTCTCCACCTTTTCAAATGTCACAGTCTTCTATGATGTAGACTTAAGTGAGCTACGGCATTCCTCCCCCATGTGCACCTCAGTAAGTAGTAGCACTTGGCTGACGCTTGGAAGTCAAGCATTGGGGGACCTAGTCAGTGCTCTTAGTAAGCTCCTTGCAATGCTGGATGCAAGCTTTGCCACTGATGCGATTGTGCACTGTTGTGACTCACAACTGAAAACCATTGGGGTAGTGGTTCAAATGTTGGGCTGGAAACAGGGAAACTGAGTTCTAGTTTTGCCTTAGGAATAAAGCTAGTTGAGTGACTTTGGGCCAGTCAATTTCTCTAAGTTCTTGTGGGAAAAATAGGACATCCGGTATGTACATTACCTTGAATTGTTTTTTTAAAAATGTAAGATAAAAAAAATAAATAGAACAAGCCTTGTTCACAACCAAGCTCAGAGAGCACCAAGGATTCCACAGCTGAAACATATATGAATATTCTCTTCTATTGGAAGATAAAACAAAAACAAAAAAACCCCCACAACTGGGAATAAAGCAATTACGAATTACTCCCTACCAAAAAAGCTTTCCAGGATATGAACATAAACTTACTAGGATGAATTCATTCGCCAACACTTTTTCAACAGAACCTCAGATTAGGAGACTTTACCCTTTTGTTAACCGCATGCTTAGAAAGTGTTACTTTGTGTATTTTCTATCTAGTGTTTCTTGCTTTGGATTTAAACATACTTCAAAATAGCCTGTGTTGGCTGAATGTATTTTATTAATCTGGTTTTAAGAATAAGTTATGATTGTTGTGCAAAAATATTACCTTTAAATATATAAACGATCAAACCCAGATATTTGGTTGTGCTGAGATAAGTTGTCATTTTACTTTGCAACTTGTTATAAATAATAATATAATTAAATGTTCAGCTGTGACTTTAGGGGCAGAGAATAGAATCTTGCTTTAAAAATATGTTGATGATTCTCAGTCCAGGTAGAGTTACATCGTGGCAACTGGAGTTATTTTCTTTTGCTTTGAAAAGTTTCACTGCTTATCCAAGTAGTTTCTTCAGACTGAGCAGTTTGATTAGGGGAACCCTATATGTCCTCCAGGATGGTCATTCCTCACCTAATCTGAATAAGCTCATTAGGTGAGTAGGCAGAGATTCGTTAAGAATTGGTTTGCTCCTAAATCCTTTGTCCTAGGTGGGTGGTTAAATTATGCTTTAAAATCAAAAGCATACAAGGGGAATATAAGTTTTCATGTATTCCCCTACTAACTTTTTAGTTATTTGCTTAGTTTTATTGGGAAAAACTGTTTTTCTTCAGTAAAACGAAATGATTTTATAAAACTTTTAAATCAGTATTCAAGGCCAGGTTCAGCCAAACTGCTGTGCAATAAGCAAATGGCAATCAATGCATAACTTTTTTACCATCCAGATAGCATAGTATATAAAACAATATTTGTAGTTCAAAAGAGAGCATTAGGTTGAAGAAATATGCATTAGATTGTCTTACTAGACTGCATGAGTTTGATGCTAATCTTGGGATTACTTTTCTTTGCTCCAAATTATTGGCTGAGAAAACTGGTTTATTCTTCCATTCTATCCTTTTCTTCTGCCCTTTTTATTTGATTGCTTTATTTTTCTGAGTAGTAGAATATTTTGTGGAGTTCTTGGTGCTCTCTCTGAGTTTGGTTGCTAGCTTGTTTTACCTGCCTAGTTAACATTATCAGTGGTAGTAAAGGGAGGTTTTTCTTTGATATATACAATAGCTTGCTATTCCAGTAATGGGGTGTGTATGGTTTTCTCCTTGGGAGTTCCTTGATTAGGATATTGTTTTTTGCTTAATTGTTTGTATGATGTTAATGCTTGCTTATCTGAATGCTGCTTTTGGAGGTGATATGTTCTGGTCTTTTTTTGTTTCCTTCTTAGCTTTTTGTTGTCTCTTTTGACCGACATGTAAATATGCTTTATTTCTATGTGTCTACTGATGGCCGATTTGTCTGCCAAATATCCAGGAATTCCCTAGTGTTTTTAGATTTAGTTTGGTCTGGAATGCTGACTGTTTTCCACTTGAAAACGTAATTGAGTCTGTCGATGTGTTGTGAGATTAAGGAACTGTGATTATTTTTCTATTGCAGTTGATTTATTGTGCATTTTCTATTTTTATGGACATACAATTCGGTTTGTTCATTAGTTTGTCCTGTCCCCTCTATCCCCATGCCACACCAATTTAAAATATTGATATAGTTCAACTATAGCATGATAACATTAAGCCATAATGATATTTGCTTGCCTTTTATTGTCATCTGAAACATCCGTTGAATTTAGCATTATATGCAGACTTAACTAGTTTGGTTTGGTCAGCAAACCATCACTAAATATGCCCTAGCTTAATGCTATATGTGAATCAGGCCACTATGACTTATTTTGTTTATGATCTCAGGTGTTTCCTATGGTTACAATTGTGTATGCAAATATCCTAAGGACTTTTCCTTATACTCTCCCTTTACACCTTGTCTGTCAATGTTATACTTTCATTCTGTCAACATCTTGTCCTTATTGAATATGTAATCACTTCCTGCCTTAGAACATAACCTGATTATTCTCTGACAAGCTGAAATAATGGTGTGTATAAGGTAACCTAATTTAACTGAAAAAAGTGGATTATTGTTCACACGCAATATATTTGAGAAGCTTTTTTTGTTTTTGTATAGGCAGCAGAAGATGTTAATGTTACTTTTGAAGATCAGCAGAAAATCAACAAGTTTGCTAGAAACACCAGTAGAATTTCAGAACTAAAAGAAGAAATAGACGATAAGAAGGTAACTGAAATCAGACAGTTCCCAAATCATATCAAACTCAATAAATTTTTCTGTAAGGTAATTGGCAAAAATATGTTTGCTACAATCCAAACTTATGCTTCATTTGAATGCCAGTGGTATTTAGGAGAAATGGTAATGGTACAAATAGTAAAAGCACAGGTTTCTCTTACTGATTCAGCAGAATGGGAAGAAATTTGCTGCAGAAATATTTCTTCTACCAGGTTATAATATTATTGGCGTATATTTTTCCTTTTGGCAAATTATGTTGGGTAAAGTTTGATGTGGCGTCAAATTGGCCACAAATGTTTTCAGAATTGCTGGGAGTTGAATGGTATACAAATGTAATTAATTATAATCTCAAGATAGTAATTCATTTTTTTTCCACAAAATTAAACATAACCATATTTTAGTTTTTCCCTGCAAGACAGAGAGAGAGACACTTTTAGTATTCTAGCTGTCATATTCTACATCTCTCTGAACATTGAAGATTTTTTCTAAGGATGAGCCACCCACCCACCCATGTAGTTAAGAGAGCATTTTAAATCTAAGTAAGGATTTTGTCAAACCTATTATGAATGTGTGGAAATAAAAAGCAATCAAGTTACCAAATTGATTCATGAGATTGGGTGTTTCAAAATCAGTTTAAATCAACTCACCTTGAAGAATCACATTGACAGTTCACATGCTATTAAAACATGTCACTGAATTTTAGTCACTTAAATTTATCTTTTTCAGTGTTGAAAGATACCTGGTATGGCTAACTCAGGGGTGTCAAACTCGCAACATCACGTGACGTGTTGCGATGTATTGTGACTTTTTTGCCATTGCCGGCAATGGGGTGGACGCAGTTTTGCTATGATGCATCTGACCCGTGGGCTGGCAGTTTGACACCCCTGGGCTAGCTGGTTCTACTCTTTTGCATTTTGTCCCAAAGCTGTTTCTTAGATAGTCACAGCTAGTTTAGAATTACATACATACATACATGTGTGTTTGTGTATGAACATATCATAGTTTATCCTAAGTTGAATTACAATCCATATCATAATGATGGATAAATCGGTAGAAAAATAACTTGATTTCTTAAACACAGAAACAGCTCCAGAACCTGCAAGATGCTTGTGATGACATCATGGTGCTTGACAATGATTCATTATTGATACCGTATCAAATTGGAGATGTCTTCATTAGTCACCCCCAAGATGAAACAGAAGAGATGTTGGAGGAGGCAAAGGTATGTTCTGTTCCTTGTACTACTTCTGTGGCTCTTTTAAGATATTGCAGCAAGAAAAGATGGGGGGAAAATTGGCAAATATTTTCTCAGGTAGTCTTTCTTCTATTGTATCTAGAAATGAATCACTAGTTTTTCTTGCTCTCAACAATTTCTCAGCATCACAGTTGAAAGACATTGATTTGTTATTTTTGTTCAGTCTTTCTGATTGCCAACTTTCACAGCTATGAAAATCATGACTTGGCAATGTGTATCTTTGTCGTCAACATGATGTTCTCTGATACTGAGCATAAGATTGGTTTTTGCACACTTATTTTTCAACCTCAACAAAAGATTGTTCTTTCCAGCCACTAAAATAGTATAATCAGCGTTATCTATATATTTTTTTCCTGGCAACGTTAACACCATCTTCTGTTTCTTTCAATCTCAAAATAGGTTTAACATATGTGCTGAATATGTAGAGTGACAATATTTAACTTTGGTGCACCACTTTTTCAAGTTTTGAATTATTAATGCTCCATATTCCATTCTAATGGTTGTTTTCTGGTCCACATAGTAATTCATGCATAGTGTTGTCCAGATAAAGCAGTCATGCTAGAGTAACATTAAAACACCCATGGTTAAAATAATAATATACGTAAAATCTTTGAGTTGGGTGAAACATTTTTAAATGTGCAGATAAGGTAGTCTGATGGGTTCATATTTTTAAGAACTGTCTATAACTTGTGATCTTCTGAATCAGAAGTCTAATCAATAAAGGGAAAAAAAGTTGTTTTAGCTGTTAACAAATATGCTAATCTTTAAGGTGACACAAAATCTTTGTTGATTTTGCTGTAATAGATGAATGTTTGGAAGGAAAATGTTTCCTTGAAATCTTTACTTAACATTTTTCCATTTTTTTTTCTTTGCCAGAAAAACTTACAGGAAGAAATTGGAACTTTGGAAGCGCAAGTGGAATCCATCCAAAGAGTATTATCAGATCTTAAAGTCCAGCTTTATGCAAAGTTCGGCAACAATATAAATCTCGAGGCAGACGATAATTAAATAGGAATAGAAATAGTATTGGATGTTTTTGTATTAATTATTTTTGCTTCATGGTAATTTTTTTGAGAAACCCCACTTTTCTTTAAATTTCATTTTTATTTCATGTATTTAATTACATACATTCTTATTTATATGTTTAAACAAACTTGTCCAAATTCTCTGGTGTGTTATTAAAGGTGGGTGCTTAAAAGTTTACTGAAAAAAGTAATAAAGCTCACAGAAATATTCTCTTTTCATGCCTATTATATGTACATTTTAGAAAAAACACATTTAAAAAAAATATTGAGTTTATATGCATAAGGAAAAAATAGGAACAATATGGGTATGGTAAGGGAAGAAGATGGGGGGAAGGGAATAGGAGATTTAGGATAAAATAAGGATAGGTACAATCACATATTTTAACAAACAAGCTACCGTCCGGATCATAATAATGAGTAAATATCATACTCAACCATTTTTAAAATAAGCTTAACTATAGCCATATTGCTAACAATTAATAAATAAATTCATCTATTTAAATAAACATGAATAATAAAATCTCAAAAAGTCATGACTATCAACATTAATGGATAAAAATCACTAAATCACTAAAAATAAAGATGTTATCAACCTATAAATTATAACTCGGTTAAAAATCAATCATCTATTCTAAAATATTAAGTCCTTTTCAGATTCTAACGCGTCTCTAACCATTGATAACATTTTTCCCAAGTTTTAAAATAAACTGAGTCATCTTTTTCTTTCATCTCCAATGTTAATCTATCCATTTCTGCACACTCTAACATTTTAGTAATTATAACCTGGTCAGATGGTAGATTCTCATTTTTCCAAAATTGGGCAAATATTATCCTCACAGTTGTTAAAACATGCAGTATCAAATAATCATTCTCTTTACCATAATTATGTCTTAATATTCCTAACAAAAACAATTCCGGTTTAAATTCTATCTGTATTTTCATCATCTTTTCCAACCATCTATGAATCTTAGACCAGTATTTCTTAGCATTAGGGCATATCCACCAGGCATGATAATAAGTGCCTGGCTGTTGTTTACATTTCCAGCAAGTATCTGAAACATTTTTAAACATTTTCGCTAAGCGAACTGGTATCATGCCATCTGTAAAACATCTTATATAAGTTTTCTTTATATGCTACCGCTTTTGTAAGCTTAATATTTTTATCCCAAAGTTTTTGCCAGTCTTCCAACAAATCGATAGAATATCCAAAGTTCTTTGCCCATACTATCATTGTTTCTTTCACTTGTTCTTCTTCCATCTTCCAGTTTAAAAGTAATTTATAGAGTTTCTTAATCAAATTCTCATTTATTTTTAACAAAATTTTATCTAATGGAGTCTGTTCTTTATAAAATCCTGTTGATTTTATATCTTTTTCATATCTTGTTTGAATTTGCAAATAGGACCACCATGTCAAATCAATACCTTGTTGTTGAAGAGTTTGCCTGTCCTTAAGTTTTCCCTCTTTGGCCAAAATATCTTTATAACTAACCAGTTTATCATAGTTAATCAGGTTTGGATAAGCAAATGCTTCTATTACTGAAAGCCACTCAGGTATTTTTGTATATATTTTATGTCTGATTTTTTTCCCATTCTGAAAGTAGTACGTTTCTTATGGCATGATTTTGAAAGTATTTATGTGCTTTAGTTTTCTCATACCATATAAAAGCATGCCAACCTAGTTGAAGATCATGTCCCTCTAAATAAATCAATCTTTTATTTCTCAATATAATCCATTCTTTAAGCCAAATCAGAATAGCTGCTTGATAATAAAGTCTCCAATCTGGAAGTCCAAAGCCCCTCTATCTTTAGATTCTTGTAATAATTTACATTTGATTCTAGCTTTCTTTCTTTGCCATATAAATCTTAGAATCATTGCATTTAGATCATCAAAAATTTTTTTAGTAAGTTTAACAGGAACTGTTTGGAATAAAAAAAATTAAGCTTTGGTAAAATGTTCATCTTAACTGTCGCTATTCTCCCTAGGAGTGATAATTGAAGATTTTCCCACCTTTTCAGGTCTATTTTTATTTGTTTCATTAATCTCTGATAATTATCTTCTTTTAATGTGGTATATTTTGCAGTTAAATAAATGCCCAAATATTTGACTTTTTAACTATTTGAAGGTTTGTCATTTTAGCAAGTTGAATTTTCTGTTTATCTATTAGATTTTTTGTTAATACTTTAGTCTTTTCCCTATTTATTTTCAGTCCAGCCACTTCTCCAAATTTCTCAATTTTCTGCAAGAGTTTATCGGCTATTTCCAATGGCTCCTCTAAAATAAAAACCAAGTCATCCGGAAAGGCCTGTAGTTTATATTTTTGGTCTTTAATCTCCAGACCTTTAATTTCTGTATCTTGTCTAATATTTCTTGCCAGTACCTCTAACGTAAGAATAAATAACAGGTGAGACAGTGGACATCCCTGTCTGGTGCCTTTTTAAATCTCAAATCCATCTGTATAATCTCCATTTAAAAGTATTCTTGCTGTTTGTTTCTTATAAATTGCTTGAATTGCTTTATTAAAATTCTCACCAAAGTCCATTTCTTTTTTTTAACAAATTTTATTGTTTTTTTAACTTTTACAACAGAACGCTCAAAAAACACCGTGGTGGTTAGGTGATCAACCATCCAAAAACAAAATCATATAATAGCTCAAGTAAATACGGTACATTAAATGTTCCCTCTCTATTTCCCTCAAATAATATAACCTATTTAACATAATCCATTTCTACATTACATATTTATAAATCCTAATCCTGTTTTGAGCTTTATTAATTTACAATTATCATAGTCCAATTTAGATAAATGTATTATCACTTCGGGTATCCCTTTTAAAATACTAATCCAGATATATTCTAATTCATAATCTCATAAATCATTGATTTTATCACAGATCTCTCTTATTACTTCAAATAGCATTTAAATCTCATTCAAATAATTATCATATCTAAAAAAAAGAACACCTACTATTACACAAAACATCGTCTTGCTAACTTAACACACTCAATTAGTTGTTAAAGCTATCCGAATTTCTAAATTTAATTTCCCTCTTATTTGGGAGCATATTTCCTCAGTAGCTTCATAATTTTTTTCCAGTATTAATTTACAATTGAGTTGTGAATATGGTTTCTCAATTTCAATAGTAACACCAACAAGAAACGGTTGCAGTTAAATTTCTCCACAAGATGTTCTCAGTAAACTATGAAAGTCTCTTCCAGACATCAAGAATGAGATTAGCAATTAAAGAGCTATGGAGTCTCTTTTCCAGCTTCTCATAGAATTGTTGTTGTTTTCAAACAATAAAGATTTATCCCTTTAAAAAAGTAAGTCCAAGACATAGGAAAACACTATTCTCCAGCTCAGAAGATATAATAATAAAGTTTTATGATAAGGATTTTTCCAGGGCCCCCAAGTAACCAAAAATAAAAATAATAAAAAGTTTTTTCTTTTGTTATGGAAAACTCTTTTCCCCAGATCCATGAGTCTGATATTTTTACCTGTATGAGGACTTCATTACATAAGTCTTTCAAAGTTGGAGTTATAATATCTTGTAGTGCTACATAAAATTCTGCAGGAAGTCCGTCAGGTCCTGGTGTTTTATCTTTCTTTTGCTTTTTTATTGCCTCTGTAATCTCCATCATTGATATATTCTCGTTTAGCCTTTGGCGCATATTCTCAGGAACCTTTGGGAGGTTTGCTTCTTTTAAGTAAGCCTGGATTGCCTCTTTAGAAACCATCTCCGCCTTATAAAGTGTCTCATTGTAAGCCTTCGTAATTTTTTTCATTGAATCATTATGGCAATGTAGCTCACCCTCTGAGTCCCTAGCTTACTTATTAATCTTTTTTCTCTTTCTTTTTTTAATCTATATGCAAGCCATCTCCCTGGTTTATTAGCATTTTCAAAGAAATTCTGTTTAGATCGTTTAATCTGTTGTGCCATTATATTTGTCTCAAGTAAATTTAATTTGTGTTTTAATAATTCCATTTGTATTTTCAGCTGTTTCTTTTGTGGATCTAATTGTAACTCAGATTCCAGAATACTAAGTTGTTCTTTCAATCTATGTTGAATATGTTTCTTTTCCTTATTCTTTTTAAAAACACATTTTTAAAGGTTAGCGCAAGAGGGTTCATTGAGAATAAGCACAAATTACAAACCAGTTTTAATATTCAGCAGAAATTATCACCCAAAATGCATCTTTGACAAATAAGAAAACTTAAAAATCAGTTTGATAGAAGATTCTTTCCATGAGAAAAAATATACACTTGCAATGTAAACTATATGTTTGTTGATTTTCAAGTATCATTTAACTCAATCTCGAGGAAATTTGGAGTAATTTTAAGCAAGAAAATTGGCATTCCTTTGTTAAAAGTAAAATCCCCATTTTGATTGTTTTTTTTTAAAAAAAAACTTTTAGGGAAGATCAGTTAATAATCATATAGTTGAACAAGTTAACACATGTAAGTATCTTCCAAAGCAAAAGGAAGTTAAAAGCTATAATTACCTATGCCACCTTGAAGATACAGAGAAGCACTGCAGTTAAGATTTTATGGAAATCAGGGAAATTCATTCTGGCAGCAATCAAGCTGTTTCAAGTCAAACTTATAGTGCAAATGATGTAAGGAATTAAATTAGATCCATCTTTACATTTTACAACCTACAAATGGATCCAATCAGCTTTCCTTAAGGCTATAATTGGTGTTCCCAAAAATATGTGTCTAATGCAGCTTTGAGGCTAGAAGACTTGCCATATGTATTAGTGGTATTAAGCCAACATATAATACACATAGAAAATCCTGTAATAATTTTAAAAATTGCTAAAATCAGACTATTCTTAATTTTTAGCAAATTAAGTTGCTGTTACTTGGACAGTCCAAAAGATGGCACTACAGTACTGGCAATCCCAAGTCTCAAGAAGAAAATTATTGCTCTGAAGTAGTTTTATTTGGCAAAGAATTGCTAATAACAGTTTTGGGTTAGAGCGATAGGATCATCCTCTGCTTTCCTTTTTGTCCATAACAATTAAACTAGTTAGTCTACATGGATTTCTACATTCCATTTACAGATATAGTGGTACCTTGGTACTCAATTGCTTTGAAACTCATAAAATTTGGTATTCAACGCATTTTGACTCAAAATTTTTGTCCCAGTACTAATTTGTCAGCGCCAGCTGCCTTGTGACTCACTACATTATTCCTTATGGGAAAAATTT